TTTTTTTTTTTTTTTTCTTTTTCTTTCTTTTCTTTTTTTTTTTTTCTTGACCTGAAGATAGAGGCTGGGAGCAGGGACATTCCACAGGCTCTTTGGTCTCTCTGCTGAGGGGAATTTGGATTTAAGCAGGCTGGACCTTCTGGCTAAATACTCAGTACTATGAAGAATGCTGGCCTGAGGGTTAGTAGCTCACATATAGATCCTAGATGTTGAGGACTCTCCCTTTCTCCAGCTCTTAAACCCTAACCTTTTACTGTTTCCATGACAATTTAGTTTGGCTCAAGATTAGTTAGGGAACTTATGAGTTAGAAACTTAAATATGTCAGTCCTCTTGCCCTTTACTCCCATTCCCAACCCTGGAGGCTTTGTACAAGTGCTTAAGTGGGTGGGCATTGGGGAAGAGCAGGGTTTAGGGAATAAAGGACAAATGGGGCATAGTGGGCAGGGGCCCTCCTATTCCAGTAAAGCCAAATACCAAAAAATGAAAAGTCACAATAAATAAATAAATAAAATTCCCAAATCCTTTTGCCCCTGCTCTCACTTCCCTTCCCTTCCATGGTTGGAGGAAGAGAGGAAAGAAGCTAAGAATGGATAGATTTCCTCTTCTACTGAGTAGTCAGGGGATCTCCCCAAACTACCAAGCCCCTCACCTTGCCAGTGGAAGAAAGGAGGCTTGGTGTGGGGCTTTCATTTATTACTCCATCTCAGTCTCTCTCTGTTTGTCTCTGCCTAGTCTGTCTCTTCTGCCTCTCTATTCCTTTGCCTTCTCAATGCTGCTCTGTTTGTTCATCTGTCTCAATCCCTCTTGTCTCTACATCTCTCTGTCTTCTTGCCAAACCTTCTTGCCTACAAACCTCAAACACTCCACCCTGACCGTGCCCCTCTTTCCCTTTCTCGTAACCCTTCACCCTTCAGTCCCCACCTGCCTCCCTCAGTTGTATTGCACACTGCTTGGTCAGGGAACAAGGTGTGATGTTCATGGGAAGAGGTGGAGGGAGCTCTAGGGCTTGGGGGACGGAGAGGGCTGGGGGAATCTCAGGGTAGGGTCTGTGGGGGAAGGCATCCACTGTCTCCCACCTTAGGAGCAGCCACAGCGATCCACCACCATGCCAGGGATCTTGCCGTAGATAATCTGCTGCTTGTCATTGAAGTAGAGCATGTTGATTGGGGACATCTTGGTAGGGGTGCAGCAGGGCCCAGCAGAGCCTCTTGGGTTGGCCTGTTGCACCAAGTGGGTGTGTGGATACTTTTGCATGAACATGTACTCGCATTGGCCGGAGCAGTAGTTGGCCTTGTAGCGTTTAGGTGCGATGATCCAGTCCCAGCCGAAAGCCTCAAAGTCCACTGTGAGGGGATATCGGCAGCAGCGGGACTCGCTAGAGTGCTCATCACAATCCAGGCCCAGGTTCCGCCGGGACCGTTTTGTGTTCTCTAGGACTCGAAGCTCCATGAAAGGATGCTGAGGGTCAGGGAGAGGGGAGACAGATATGACATAGCTCTGAATAGTTATCTTCCCTGTTCCCTTCCCGTCTGCCTTCCAACAGGCATTGGAATAGAATTCATTGATTTCTCTCTTTTTTCATTTCTCCCACCCCTGAGACCTGCTTCATTTTTCTTGCTAGCCATCGCTTCAACTCACCTTCCCAAATTCTTACCTGGCAACCTGATCAGCCCCTTGTTCCAGGGCTTCAATAGCCAATTTTTGTGTTCCCACAGATCTCCCATTAACTTATACCTTCACCCCAGATCCAGTTTTCAGCTGTTGCCTGACTTGGATCCCTGAAAAATTATAGTTGTCACCCCATCCCCTACTAATTACTGTGGAATCAGTTCCTGGCCCCAGAGAATTAACACTGTTTTCCAGCCCCCTTCAGATTCCTGATCTACTTTTGCTAACATTCCCCACCTCCTCAGGGCCAGGTTATACATAATCCACCACCACTTCAAACCCCCTGCTCACCAGCCCCTCAGCTCCTGGCCCCAGGGAGGTGACAGCCAGGTCTGTGCCACTGGGATCAAAGGCGTTGATCTCGATGCCCCAGTTGGTCTGTGGCTGGCGGAACCAGCTGTGTAGCACTTGCTTGAAGTCGATGCTCTGCCAGTGGCCGGAGCGCGAGTGCAGCTCAATCTTGAGTGAACGAATACGGATGTGACGCCGGCCTCCACCCCCTCCCCCTGCAGTCCCTTCCCCAGTTAGGGGTTTCAGTCGCAAGATCTGCAGGTAGACCGTGGCTGGGCGGGGCACGGGCCGAAGGTACACCCACAGCTGGGCCTTCAGTACCTTTGTGAACATCACCTTGGGGCTGAAGTGGAAATGGCAACAGAGAGGGCTGCCATCTGTCTGCACTGCGGGGTCCGCTGATAAGAGAGAAGGGGGCAAAGCATCAGCAAAGGGTGCTTGTAGATGGGATCAGCAGCACAGGGAGCACTGGCAGTTCACTCAGGCTATTTTCCAGTTCTTTACCCTTCTCTCATGCCTGTATTATTGGCTACTATTATTGTCTTTGTTATCCAAGAGTGCCTCCTCTCTATAAAGGATGTCTTGGTCACTTCTTCTAATCTGCACACATTCCCTAATCCATTCATCCTAATGTATAAGCTCTTCTCTCCTAGATAACCTGCAAAGATAGTTACCTGAATTCTCCTTCCACCTACATCTTTCCTTTTACCAGTGTTTCCTAGCATATAAGGCTTGGCCTTCTTCTGAATCTTTAACATTCTTTATAGAAGCCATATCTTTTATCACATCTGCTATCCTTAGGTCACCTTGTCCCAAAATACTCATTTGTCTGTTGGATACGTAAGCCCCACCTCCCCAAACCAAGATGATGTCAAAAGAGGTAGCTCAGGGGCTGGAGATACAGCTTAGCGGCACAAACGCCTGCCTGGCAAGCACAAGCTCCTGAGTACCACAAAAAAAAAAAAAAAAAAAAAAAAAAGTAGCTCTGGGTCCAGAGGAGTGTGGTCTAATTTTTTATTTATTTTTTTGTGGAACGAGGGATTTGAACTCAGACCCTCGTGCTTGCCAGGCAAGTGATTATTCTACTGAGCCATCTCCCCAGCCCCTAATTTATCTTGTAAAGTAAACCAGAATTCAGATCTGTCTCATTCCCAGTAGCACACCCTCCAGAATGAACTATGCACAAGTGTTTTCTGTACATCTAAATCCCCATTCTTGGGGCCAGTGAGATAGCTCAGTGGACTAAAGTGCCTGCTTAGGCAAGCTTAGTCAAGTGCAGGGACCCTGGTTAGATACAGGAACCACATGCCATGCCAGCCCTGCCCCCAGGGCAGGATAAGCAGGCCAGAATCTGGTGTAATGTTGCAGGTCTGTAATCCCAGCACTGGGAAGGCTGAAAGCAGGAGGCTTGCCACAAATCCAAGCTGCATAGTGAGACCCTACAACAACAAAATACATTAAAAATAAATTAATCCCCATTCTTGGGCCAGGGATATAGTTCAGTGGCATAAGCACCTGCCTGCTAGGCACAAAGTCCTGAGTTCAATTCCTGGTACCAAAAATAAATCCCCATTCTCTCGTAAGTTTCCTTAGTTGCTTCCTTTTTGTCATCACTATTACCACCTTGGCTTTTGAGAAAAATTTGTTTGCTCTTACTTGCCAAAGCATCAGAAATAATGATCCACACACCAAGTCAATTGTGGTCAGTTTTTTCTCCCCAGAGCTTTCTTTGATTTCTCATCCCAGTGCCAGTAAGTCTTCACAAAGGTTCATTACCCCAACTTTACATTTTGACCCTTTTCCCCATGTTCTGGTCTATACTTTGACCCCTGGGTCTAAAGGATGATTCTCAGTATATCTCTCTGCTTCAGTTCAAGCTCCTCCTGGTTCCCCTTCCTAGCCCCTTAAATCAGTTGAGAATGCCCTAAGTCATGTCTTCTCTGGACAGGAATGTACATCCTATATAGGAACAACCTGGAATGAGCTTCCAGAGTTCTGCAAGTTTGCTGAGGAAGGCTGGGTCCTTGTGCATCATGCACAGGTCTCCTGTACTGCAGTCCTGGAGGGCTTAGAATGTTGTCACCCTTCAGCACTCTACCCCCTCAGGAGACAGAGGACCTCCAAAAGAGGTAGGAAGGAGGACAGCACTTAATCTTCATTGTTCAGGACACCAGACACAGACTCCTTCTGCAGCATATATATTTTTTGGTTCTTTGAGGCCCCAATGCTGCGGTCATCCTCTCAAGTTACCCCACCAGCTGGAATGTCAGTAATTGTGCAATGGACTGGGATTTTTGAAGTGAAGATTTTAAAGTGAAGATTGAGAGATTAGGAGTAGCTGGGGTGGAAAAGCTACTAGGGAGATCAGGAACAAGAAACAACAATCCAAATGACACATTATACAAAATAATAAAATGACACATCATGCCTAATTTTAGCATAGGAATTGACTTTCATGTCATTAGATATTTATCTTGATGGTGGACACTATTGATAACTTGTCTGCTTTGCTTACCACTGAGTGTTTCCTTGCCAAGCAGTGCTCAATAATACAGTCTGAGTGAACTCTTAGTTCTAAATAACACAGGGCCAGAAATGTAGCTCAGCAGCACAGCACCTGCCTGGCAAGTGCAATGTCCTGAGTTCGAGTCCCAGTACCATAAATAAATAACCCAGGCAACTGCCTGAGAGTTCTTTAACTCTGTTATTGCCTGCAGTTGCTTTTTGACTCCTCATTAAACTGTATCTGACCTTACCACCAATATCAGATTAGCAATGTGATAAAAGATAATTCTTGATTCACAGGAACATTAAATGAGCATTAAGTAATGTGAAAATAGTAGAGATTCTCAATAAAGGCTGATTGGTTTGTTTTCTAAGTTCTAAACATAGTACCTAAGCTATCCTAGACTTTGGAGAGGAGGTATGTGCAACATCTCTCTAAGTCAGCAGCAGCAAGCCTGTGGCATAGTGCCACAGTTTGTAACGCTGAAAGCTCTAAAAGGTTCAGCATCAGTGCTCTAAATCTTTGGTTCCTTTAGACAAAAGTTCCCCCCATTCTCACCACAGGGAATCTTCATAGACTTCTCCCCCAGTGGACGAGGTGACAGTCAATGCTGCTAGGAGACAAGACATAAGGACAAAGTAAAGGGACAGAAGAAAAGTTGGGGGAGTTTGGAGATGGTGAGGAAAGAATGGAGAAGAGACAAATGAAAACAGGTTAAAGGAGATAAGTGAAGGAATGGAGTAAGTAGGAAAATCATGCTATGGGAAGAATCAAGTTTGGGAGTTGGAAAACATCAAAATGAGGTAGAAAGGGGTAAGGAAGAAAAAGGAGAGGGTACAGGAGGAGGAACAAAGGAGAAGCAGGTAGAGCTACAGAGGGAAACTGGGCTTGAGAGAGCCCCCAACACACACAGGCCCAGCCCGGGTGGGGAGGGGAAGGGGCCACATCTGTGTTGGATTGATCTGGTTGGTGGCAGGCAGCAGGTCAGGTTTAGTAGGCGGTGCTGGTGGAGGAGAGAGGTCATTGCACTATTTTCAGCAAAAGCCCAACCCCCTCCCTACCCACCGCAGCAGCCACCTCCTCCACCTCCTCTATCAGCCCCCGCAACCCTGGCTAGAAGGCCTAGGGGCTGGAGGTTGGGCTGAGAGGGCAGGGGCCTCTCAGTGTAGGGAGGAGAGACAAACTGAGGGGCTGGGCTTGGCTCTCTGAAGGGCAGGGGGCTGGGTTCCCAGGATGAAGCCTGGGGTGGGAAAGCCTGAGAGGGTAGAGGGAACTAGGGCAGGCACAGCAGCCTAGGAGAGGTGGGGGCTGGGGTCCAGGGTTGAGGGCTGGGGGAGGGGTGCAGGGGGAGGGGAGTAGAGGCCATCTCTGCTGACAAACACCTCCCCCGATTAGCAGAGCACAAGTCTCTTATTAAAGCGGGTCCCTGGGGATTAGACTATAAAAGTCTCTTTTTGCTTTTCCCCTCTCTCCCTCCCCTCCCCTTTACTCCCCCTCCTAGTCTTAAGAGCTCAGCTAGCTCTTAAAGGGGACGTACAATACCTGGCTGGAGACCCTATTCACTAGTTACCCAAATACTGGAGTGGCACAGGAGTGGAAATTGGTGTGAGATTCCACCTGCTGCGGCCCCCCAACAGACCTAACCTGTACCGCCCAAAACACTCATGCTGGAGTCCCTGCACTTCCTGGATTCTCATAACCAGAGCTAATTCTGCCCTCCGGTCTACATCTGCAGCTGGGTCACCCATCCAGGAAACCCTCCTAGTGCACTACACAGACCTGGAGTTTCCCTCACCATACCGTTTTTTCCAGTAAACTTAGAATTCCTGTACCACTGTTTCCTAGAATCTCCACCCCCACCATGACCTCGTTCAATTTCAGACTGACCCTAGCTTCCATAAGCAGAAGCCATGGAAAAAGAAGGGAGACTGAGGAACCCAAGACAAATCTCCATTTCTTCACATACCCACACACAAGACCCTTCCCACACTAGTTGTGAATCCAGTTAGTTTCCTGGTTCTTTGAGTTTTCTTTATAGTCCTGACCAAGTACTGTAAAGTTCTGCAAAAATATGGGCGGCAGGATCAGACACTCCTAGAAGCACACCTGAGTTTCTATGCCTTTCCTTAGTAGGACTCCCTTCAGCCCTGGCTTTTTATGACCCATCTGCCAATAAACCCCCGCTCTTCTGTTCAAAGTCATAAAACCAAAAGGGGGAAGGAGGACCTTGCCAAACCACTAGGGAAAGAGTGAGCCAGGTTCCCCGGAGTTGAAGAGTGGGGGGAGACCCCCTGGGGGAGGGGAAAGTCACCTGACCCCAGGGAGAGCTGGGGGTGGGGGTGGTGGTATTGGCCAGGATTTTCCAGGCCATAAAATTTCAAAGCAGCTCATGTCTATTAACATGTTCATCTTCCGTTTGGCCCGGGGCTTGGCTGCCTGGGTCCCCTCACACACCCCCCATCTAGTTCTTCTCTTAAGTCCACCTGAGGGTACAGTGGGTGAATAAGGGGCGAAACACTAAGATCTGAGTAATCAAATGGTTGCCCTTAACACCTAGGGCAATGGAGATGAATTCTCTGAGCTTGGTTGGTACGAAGGAGGTGCAGCTTTTCTGGTCCATGGGATACCCAGTCGGAGGCTCACAGCTCAGGATGCAGAAAGCCGGCTGTGCTGCTGCCAGGAGGGCCACTGGGTGTTGGAACTGGAAAAAGAGCACTCAGTTCCCTGCTGCTGGGTGGGTGCGTTGCGGACCGCGGGGCGGGGAGTGTGTGCCAGGGCAGTGAGGAGGCTGAAATCGCTGCGGGCCAGCTGGGACCGCGGGTTTCCAGCGCTGATTCTGTTCTGCAGCCTCCCTTTCGGGACCCTTCAGGGTCAGAGTCGCTGCCTGGCTCCCTTGGTGGCGGCCCCAGCTTACCGGCTCCTTCCACATGGGTCCTTCCCGTACGCGGGGAGAGGACCTCTCACAACCGCCCCGAGAGCCCCCTCCCACCCTGGGAACCCTGCGGGCACAGAACTCCGCCACCCGTCTTCACAGCTCGGAAAAAGTTCTGTGAAGTAGCCCCCGCTTCCCAATCCACCAAGTTTTCCAAGTAAAGCCTTCCGGGCCGGGGCAGCCGGAGCGCCCCGCTAGAAGCGAGAGGCGCCTTCCCAGAGCCGCGTCAGCCAGCACCGCTCGCGTCCGCTGCCCACTTACTCTCCTGGGCCATGCTGATGACGGTCTCGGTGGTGGCGTGGTACTCGTCCTCCTCCAGGAAGTCCTCGGGCTGCAGCGCGTCGCCTTGAAAGTCGTGCAGGTCCAGGATCTGCTGCAGCGGGGGCGCCTTGGGCAGCAGCTGTTTCACCACCTCGCGGCTGATGTTGGGCGCCTCCTTGAGCCGCAGTTTGCTTAGGATCTGCGACTTGATGCTCTCCAGGCGCAGCTCGCGGCTGTGCTGCCGCCACACGCACACGGGGCAGCCGTCCGGCTCGGGCGCCGCGGACGGGGCCGACCGGCCGGCGCGCTCCCCCCCG